TATTACGAGTTAAGCCGCCCGACGGATTGTGAACAAACAGAGTGCGGATTCGAAAGCAATAAAAAAGCTAGAGAAAAGCGCTAATAAAAAAAAAAAAAAGAAAAAAAACAACCAATAAAGCTGTATAAATCTTCCTGATTAGCATTTTCGTAAAGAACCATCTGTACGTCGAATACCGGACTGCAATTCTGAGTAGATAATTTCCGGAGCAAGAGCGTATTTTTGTGTGTATTGTCGTTTCGAGATAAACTAATCTTCCATATACTGTACGGCACGCGAATCACATTATCTAAATTACATCGATAAATATAGTCATAAATCAAACATAACGAGATAAAATCGACTGAGCCAGCCATTGCCCGGGAACACATTATGTAATATAAAAATAAATATCGACATTTCAAATAACGTTCATTTAGAACAAATTTTGAAAACATGTAACTTAAAAGCAAAAAAAAAGTACCCGAAATACGTAAATATACAAAAAACCGCAAACAAAGCAAAATCGAATGTCGCGCATTTTGTTCTAAGTGGTTATACGTCGAATTTTGTAGCTGACATAGCTTAGTTTTGGAGTGATAGAAAAAAAAAAAAAAAAGCAAATGCCTTCAAAATCCGTACTCTATCATAATAAACCTGCAGCAGCACGCGACGCGAAGCGCGATAACGACACGGGGCCGTTCGACAAAACGCTATAGATCAGTGCTCCTCAAACCTTTTTTTGCCACGGGGCCCCCTAAATTCAATCTAAACCTGTCAACGTCCCCTTGATAAAAATCGTTGATTAATAAAAAATTGTAATTGTGTACTAAAATAATTGCATGTACTATTTCACAAGGATAAATGATTAAATTAATTGTTTTAGATTCTGAGCGGGACGAGGAATGTATTGGTTTTACAATGATGTTTTGTTTATTTATTTTTTTTTTTTATACGAACACTTTTTCTACCGGAAATCCAGAAAGCTTACTCCGATTATCAAGTGCAGCATCTTTTCCGAAAGGAAATATTCCACGGGCGACACTACAGAGAGGCCAATTTTTTGAAATTCTCATTGATATTTGAGATAACGAGAAAAACCCGGTTCCTTGGGTGTAAAATAAAATCGAAAGATTAAGAAACGGTTTTCGTTTGCGACCGTTTTATTTGTATGTTGTTATTGTTTTATTAATCTTTTTTGACAATCATTGTTATCACGGAAACGCACATTGTCGTATCATAACACGACGTTATCATAATGTATACGTTAATATAATATATATGTATATTATTGACACCGATTGCCCGGCCCGCTATAACCGGCCCAGTGTCCGGATGTCCGTGATGATGAACAGCGCGCGTGTTGTTCCGTTTGTCAACTACGAAATACGCGGATAAAACATTTATTTGACACTAAAGAAAAAAAAAAATGTATTGGGTATTTTCGGGGGTGATAATTTTTAAACTGGGGGTGCTAAAGGCCCCATCCCCAGCATCACTCGCAGCCATGGCCGTGTATATCGCCACGGTTTATTCAGGTATATAGAACGATATCGTGGTGTCTGTATGATGGGCTACGGATAACGTACGTCTATTGGTGCAAACATTTATACGAAATCGAATACGCAGTGCTCGCGTTTGTACTGCAACAACAGCTGTGCAATCGTATAGCGGCGTACAAAATGTTCACAAAAAAAAACTCACGTCGCGTGAAAATAGGTCAGAAAAAGCTCGGAGAATTTTTCGTTTTTCGAATTTAATTTTCCACTGAATTTGTTTTTTTAAACGTAAAACCTATCCGCAAGCGATAAAATCATACGGGTGTCGACGAAACGCAGACTAATAGTACAGCTAATAATAGACCGTATGAACAATAAATACTGGCGGATTTTTCGCGCCGTGTACGCAACATTAATATACGGAATGAATTCGTCGTTAGATTTAGAAGCCATTTCGCTTTTTCGATGGGTTAAAATGCTCGGATTTTCAACACTCCTTAGATGCTCGTTTTTCCTTAAATTTTTTCACGGCCAATATTGTCCGGCTTTCCGAAATCGGGACGGTTGGAGCGTTGTCGTTTGGATAGGTCAAGAAACGTTGTGAATTATTTCGTCTAATCGGCTGTAACGCGAGGAATAAGATGTTTAATATTTCCCCGGGCGCGATTTACTCTGTACCGAATCGCGTTCGGCTACACCTTAATTTTCGGACGTTATTACAATATTACGACGGACTTTTGTGCCGTCGTCGATTCGAACGAACGGCGAGCACATAATTTCCGACCGTGTACACGTATTATAATATTTTACAAACGTCGCAAGTGTTGTTGTTTTTTTTTTTTTTTTTCTAACAGCCGGAATTATTCGTTGACGCGATAATATCCCCCCACGCGTATTATTATTATACAACGGCGGTACTCACACATTACAACGCACGTCACAATCAAAGAATATCGAAACATTATTTTTAATTAGGCGTAAAAACCACTAGAACCGCAATTCGTTATTCTCGCGTCCGGCACGAACTGTATAGTGGACTGCGCATTCTTTTGGCCCTTTTGCCTAACAGAAAAATCAGAGATTCGGACGAAATCTGACGGACTATATAAAGGGATACATTACGTACACGTTTTTTTTTTTTTCCATTAAATGCATTGATTTATCATAAACGATATCGTACAGATGACGTATTGAGTCATGTAACAATATTTTTTTTTCTTCCCGGATACCCGAAATACACATTTTTGTTCGTCGGAATATATAATAATGCAATTTTCGTTCAAGTGCGCAGTCCAGTGGCGTATCTGCTCCCGCGACGAATTCATCCTTCACCATAGGTTTTAGGTTTACACTCAGGACACGAACCTTCCGGGAACGAACCAGATAAACGAACTCGGAAAAGTATCGGGTTTGACAGGTACTGTAAAGCTCCTAAAACCGCCCGAAACCTGCTCGGTTACGTTTCGGCTCGGGACAAACTAGGATTCGGTCCGTCAATACGCCGCCGTCCGGGTACCATACGAGTATATTATCTACTCGTTTCAAAGAGCACGCGCGGGACAACCTCGGTCCGTTAGTATTTTATATTAACGCGAGTTTAACCATTATCAAGCTTAAAGACGGGATCGTTATCTGTGCGTAACTACTTCGGTTTTTTTCCTCGGTATTTTAACTTTTTTAAACGAGACACGCGTACGCGAAATATCACAATTTAAAAACGCCCCTATGTAGGTCAACTCGATCTGATATTATTAATTAAGGCGCCGAGTTGCCCCTGTTTGACGTTCGTTTTCTATGTCGCACGTTTGCCAGACGGAGACGACCTCTTCTTAACGCGCCGTGTCGTTTTCATCGTACGCTTTGAACGGCTTAAAAGTTTTGTACCCATTTGTAATTATCGTTGCAGTCTGCGGCGAAAAATGTGCCGGCCCGGCGAATTCCGTCGTGTTCCCGACGTCGTGCGTGCGTATATGCCGCGTATAAAACTCGCATTAAAAGAAAAAAAAAAAATAAATACAAACATAGGCAGTCCGTTACATGTCCGTAGTGCCGTGAATGCAGCGCACTCGCACGTCCGTCAGCGGCGGTGATAATAATAATAACAATGATAATAATAAATACGACGACAATTATTATTGTTGTCGTTTTCGTACGACTGCGACGAGCGCGCTCGCACGTGCAAAATAATAATAATAATAATAAAAAAAAAAAAAAAAAAAAAAAAAAAAAAACGTAAAAAATACAATTAATATATTCGTCGCGCGACGCCACCCACCCACCCCCACCCCACTCCCACTNTGCAGTCTGCGGCGAAAAATGTGCCGGCCCGGCGAATTCCGTCGTGTTCCCGACGTCGTGCGTGCGTATATGCCGCGTATAAAACTCGCATTAAAAGAAAAAAAAAAAAAAACGTAAAAAATACAATTAATATATTCGTCGCGCGACGCCACCCACCCACCCCCACCCCTCTCCCACTCCCGTACGCTAACCCCCGGCGACCGGTTGTGACGGCCGTATCGTTTTATTGTTGCCGTCGACGTCGTCGCCAAGTCGCAAACATCGGCGGCGGTCATTAGCCGCTCGGTAATCTTGCGCGCGCACGCGGAACACGTACCTGTCGTAGCGATTAATGAAGAAAAACCGAAAGAACAATAATGGTGAATAAAAACAAACGTCCGGTGTATCGTCGAACGAAACGGCGGTGGGGGGGGGTGTAGGAGAGTGAGGATAGAGGGGAATATGTCTTATTTTTAAAAACTCGTACGGGTTGGGAAAAAAATAAATAATAAAAAAAAAATTAAACCCGGCTGTTATTCCTGGCGATTTATCGCGCGTGCGAGCGCAGGCCTACAACAGCGATCCGTTGTGCACCGCGCCTCTCCTCCGGCGCTTCCCCTCACCGTCGTCAAATGTGACGGTAATAATTAAAACGCGCGTCGCCTCCGTCGATGTCACGGTACGTCCGGCGACGACGACGACGTCTACTCCGCGAATCGGTTTCGGAGCGTGTAAATTTACGCCGCGGGCAAACGCGATTTCAGACAAATGTGGCGCGTGGTGTTTTGTTTTTTCCTTTTTTTTTTTTTTTTGTACGCGAATAATATACAGGGCGATTATTTTCCTCGCGAACCGACGCGATCTCCGTGTTACGGTCCGCCTGTATTTGATTGCCTGTGCGGTACGGCGATTCCGGGCGAATCCGTTTTCGGCGTTATCGCAATCGATCGTTATTGTATTATTTGCGTGCAGAATCGTTTCACGACGATTTACGGCATTTTCGTCACGTTCGTCTGGTCAAAAAGCTAGACATTTGTCTACATAAAACATGTTGATAGCTAATATGTGCGCGGCAGAATTAAATAAAATAAAAAAATGTACTCGCGAGGTCTTCGCACGCAGGATAATAGCCGACGACCGTTCGATAAATGAATCACCCTGTATTGAAATCGGGAATCCGGGTGGGGGGGAAACTAAAACCGTCTCGCGCGACGATTATACGACCGAGGTGTATAGTAATATGGTTTAAGTAAATGTTCTTGAACATGTGTCGCCGGCGACTTGACCGATTTCCGCGGTCACAGAGCCCGCGGTCGTCGTCTCCGCCCCGGCCGTCGTACAGCCACTCGTCATCGCGGCATAATACCCGCCTGCAGTTACCAATGAACAATAATAGTCAACAATAATTTCGGCTATTTGTTGTATTCCAAAGAAAATTAGTTTCCCGTGCCGTTTCTCCTACCGCCCGGAACATAAGATAATATTTTTCGGCGGGTTTTTTTTTTTTTTTAATTTAATTTTTTATCATGCACAATATTAGGCGATGACAGTTTTAACGGTATACTCGTATATAGGTACTTTGCGGCCGTCCATCGCCGACGCCGCTCACGCGTCTTAACGCCCAATGAACTGAGACCGGAACACGCAGCTCAGTGCGAATCACGTGCAATAAAGTTATTTTCAAAGAGGTTTTTCGTATGCAAGATGCAGGCACATCCACCGATCCCAGCGCGATATGAACAAAACACGAACCGGCCGATAAATCGATGTCCTGGGATGACAACACTCGGAAACGTGAAAATCTCGTCCAAACTCCGAACGCGATATCGCACGTTATGGTGTCGAAAGTATAAGCCGAAAACATAAAACGCGCGGCTGATGAATAACCGCGTCCGGTACAAATAGAGACGGGGCGAAAAGGAAAAAAACAAGCGTGTGCCGCGAACAAATCTGAACGTTTACACTAACCCGAAAAGCGCGATGGAAAAAAAAAAAAAAAAAAAAACTACGCGTCTTGGTAAAATGATATATACTGCGGGCACAACTCGTTGTGCCACACTCGGAGTTTAAAAGTACGCGGCGACAAGGTGTTGTGATGCACATTGTCGCGTTTTCCGCTACGCCCTCCGGCGGGGACGCGATATCGGCGCGCACACCGGAAACGCGCTTGTAAACCGTAAAAAGATATACTCGACTTTTCCGGGGGGCCCCCCACCCCCCTCCCGCGCGACTCGCGAAATGCGAAAATCGCTTGTGCCGTCCGCTGCGCGCGCGCACCGGGCTTTGACGATCGCGGAGCCCGGTCACGTTTTCAATCGAACGGTTTTTCGTTCGGATCCGACGGAACGCCCGGTCGCGTAATCGGATTTACCGCGGTCGGGTGTACGGGCCCGATAAAATATTACGTGTCCGCGTGCGCACACACGTACACGTTATACACTGCCGTTCACGCCAGACAGCATAAAGAAGTCGAAACGGAACGAGCCCTGCGCCGCGGCGGCCAGGTGACCCGACGACTTTGTACGTTTGTAATATATACTTGTATATATATATAGGAGAAGACGAACCGAAAAGAAATTCAAGAATATAATTCTTCTTTTTTTTCCTTTTTTTTTTTTTTTATATTATATTTTTTTTCCTAAGCAGGATGCACGGATTCTACGCGTGCAGTATTCGTATTTATATATATATAATCCTGTCTCGTTGTTTACCGTGTCACCCCGTTCCAATCGTGTATATTATACGAAATATATTTCTGTTTCGGTTTTTTATATATATATAGAGAGAGAGAGGTAAGAAAAAAACGAAATGAAAAAAATGTACAGTCGTGTGAAAAGACATTTCTATACACACGACGCGACGGCCCGACGACTACTGTATACAATTATCATTGTCGACGAGGGGAATATAATAATATTTCAACGACACAATACCGCCGTTATGGAGTAATCCGATTCCGAAGCTTTTCATATCAATTCCGGGGTTTTTTTTTTTTTTTATCTTTTTCACTTTTTAGACATAATTTATTTTACATTCTGAGCGGGGTATTATTTTCGTCAACCCGGTTTTGACCCGGAACATTAGAGCGTTGCGTATTCAGAATGAAAATTCCCGAACAAAAACAAAATCTCTGACCCGACCGAGGAAAATAATAAAAAAAAAAATCTCCGAACCATATTTTGCTTTGCTCGATAAACCGCTGTAGACATTTAGCATATTCGCCGACTTTAATATTAAAAATAGTCCGTTCGTCTGACTCGGATAAGTTTAGAAAAGAAAGCTGCAATTTCGTTCATAAGTGTCAATATGTTATATAATACTATAACTTTTCCTAGATTATGAACAACCGTTAAAACCGTTTGAAACCTAAAATAAAATTAGTTTGATATTTGCTCAAATTCTATAAATCAATTCAAGATAATCGTGTACAGAGTACAATCGATCAATGAATATCTAATGTTTATATTTAGTGTTTGAGATATTTCGCTGTCCGCTGAAATCTGAATTGGAAACATGTTAGCCGCAACAAAAGTGTTCCGAATTAACAACAATTTGTATTGTTTCATAATATTATTAGGTGTTATTGATAAAAGTTGTTAAATAAATGGCAAACGGTTTGTCGTTTGAATATGCGTTTCGAATCATGACACCAAAGTTCGGTAATAGAGTCGGGGACTTATTTCCCGGAGATTTTTTATCCCGGGATTATTTTTTATCTTGTTCGGTCGTTCGGGAGATCTTTTTCTCTTATCCGTGCGTTCAATCCATTAACCATTTTTCATTTTTAGATGTACCAAATAAAAATATTTTATTCGTATTAATGTACACAATTGATGATAGACAGATGGTATGATTTTTTATAATTGTATTATAATTATAATTTATTAATTTCGTATGTACGGTTTTATTAATAAGTAAAAATGCAGTACATAGTAGACATTTTTCTTATTTAAGTGCCCCTTCCGTAAACAGATCCTAGGTCCGCCGTTGAATAGGAATCTGTTTTTTCTCCATCTGCAATATTATTTATAGAAATCCCCCGTTAATTCGGGTGGTCGGGTTTTTGAAATTCGTATTATTTGCATTATTTTTTTTTTGTCGTCGATAAAGTAAAACTCGGAATAAATCTCGTGGAAAGAGCACGTGGCCGCTACTTTAAATTTCGTATCTATATGCAGACGCACGCTTCATTTCAATTTCTATACAGGGGGTAAAGCATTTGAATATTTTATTATTATTATTATTATTATTATTATTATTTTTTTTTTAATAATTGCACGTTTTTCTCCGACCCCTTACGCGGCGGTGGGCGGCGAGACGATCGTTTCGCGCATAATAATTATCGTATTATTGTGGACATAATAATTCGGGCGACCCGCTGTCATCTGCAAACATTTTAATCAACTTGGCGGTGGCGACGACGACGACGACGACGACGGTGCACTTGACGTTTTTCGAAAAATAAATTCGAATTCGCCGTCGCACCGGGATCGACGTCACGCACTATTCGATATTATAATTCATTGTGTGTACATAAAAACGATACTCGTACCAACGGGGAGGGAAAAAAACGACTTTGACATACCTACGCCGACCATAAACTCTGTGTGTGTGTGCGTGTGTGTGTGTGTGTGTGTGTGTGTGTGCACAGTGTCCGACGTCCGTCGCGGGGGGTATATACGAAATAACAGCCGAGGGGATTCTTTTCGACCGTCCCGTTATGTACTTTATGCCTCTGCACATCCGGTGGCCGCCGACACACAGGCACGTTTAACGTTCGAGCACATTGAAATTAGGGTTTACCCGCAGTGCTGTTGTGCCGTTGTGGCGGCGAGTACCGCGGAGACGATTGTCGTATGTATGTAACATAATAATATTGTATTCTCCGTTCGGACTTTGTCACAATCACTACAAATATTTCACGATATTATTATTATTATTATTTTTTTTTTTTTGTGAACGACTCGTTTTATGTTCAGAATCGTTTTTCGTTAGCTACGGTTTATCGTTGTGTACAGATATAAATTAAACATTACTCTGCGTGTATTGTATACTACCCCCTTTCGATTTCTCTACTAAAACCTTCCTGCACCACTCATCAGCAGTGTGTAAGCAATCAAACAGCAGTTCTTTAAATTGAATACGTAATAATAAACCCGTCATTTTTTTTTTCTTATTTTCACACCTAATTGGGCTATTTAAAAAAAAAAAAAAAATTGTTTTTATTATAATTCTACAAATTATACAAAATAATCGTGAATGATTTATGTACGATAACTATTTGGGTAGGCACTTCGCGAGTTTTACCTAAAAAACAATTAATATTTTCGTGTTTTGTTTTAAATGCGGTTCGTTTGGTTTTCAGTTTGAAGGACCTAACTGTCTATTGTACAGGAAAGACGCCGAATAAAATAATAGGAACACGCACGTTTAAAATGTTTGTAAAATTGGCCGCCTTTAATAATTAACGAAATACCTAATAATACTAATCGCGCAACGATAAATTTAATTTAATAGTGGAGAACAGGAAAGCATATCTGCTCCCTCGTATTTTTTTTTTTTATTATTTCTTATCTATGTGATTATCTATTTTTTAAATTTCAAGTTCGTTTATGTTTTATTTCGAAAAAATCGACGACTCGTTGGCACCTATTTAATATTAGAAAAAAAAACAAACAAACAAACCCGAACGTATATTGTTTCTCGTTTAAAACGAAACTCACCCGGCCACTGTGGCACGGACGGTGTTAGATTATAATTTACCTACAATACTTATAGTTAACACTAAATAAACTCGGATTTCGATGATAATCGAGATCGAATTATGAATTACTCGTAGCAAAATGTATAGTCCACGGGGGTACATCCGTGCGGCCCGAATATAGGCGGGTACGCGATTGTCTCCATTACACTTTGACGAAATCCTAAACACACGCGGCTGCTGCAGTACGCGCTGACGAATTCCGCACGCGTAACCATTACGTTTTTCGACAAACGCGTAAACGACCCGCGCTCGCGTACGACACTATTGTGGCGGTGTGTTATCACACATTTTTTATAATATCAAGTGCGGTCGGTACGCAGGCATATATAATCGCGGGGGTCGACCGTGTTATTATTACGGACCCGAGACCGCCGGTAGTCGCGCAACGAGCGGCGCGCGCAGTCGTAATGTTACAATCATACGGCGGGCGTACGGGATAACAACCGAAACAGAGAGAAAAAAAAAAAAAATGGGTATCGTTAACTTTTCGGGTACGCGCGCAATAACGACATTATCACGCGGGCACTTGACCGGCGTAGAGACGGCGGTCTGCCGCAGAACGAGCGTACCTCGTAACGTCGTAACGTTCGCCCGGCGATCGCTATCGGGGCGCCGAGTTCTTATCGCATTAACGACGTTCCAGTGCCGCCGCCTTATCGTCGGCTTGCGGTAACCGCCGCGACGTGGACGGTTAACGGCGGCGGCGGCTTCTGTCATTGCGGACGTTCGCGCGCTTTTGACGACGACCCGGAACCCGGCCGCGACCTGCGCAGGTGTCCCCGGGCGTTTCCGCGAGCTCGGCGGATTTTTTTTTTTTTTTGTTTCGTTTTTTTTTTCTACTATTATTATTTTCCACGGCGAACCGGGTTTTCGCACAAACGGATTTCGCAAACGGATAGCGCGCGCGCGTACGCCGCGTACTCTGCCGACGCGCCGCCCGCCCGGTACACTCGCCGGAACACGCGAAACAATTCGAGGACCCGCCGGTCGCTGAGAGGCGCGCGCGCGCGCATCGCACGCGGACAGGTAGCACCGTAGAACATTGTAACGTGTTGTTTGTTTTTTTTTTCCGTTTTTAACGCGAATCCCCGCGGCCCCAA